CTTCAGGACTTGGCCACAGCCATATTTCAACAGGATAATGCGTGACCACACGTGGCACGCATTGTCCACAGGTTCGTCAATCACCAGATTGAATTGTTTCCCTGGCCGGCTCGCTCTCCGGATCTTCCGCAGATAGAAAACATGTGGTGCTTGGTTGCTCAACGATTGACCCAGATTATACCCCCAGCTGCCACACCAGATCAACTGTGGCAACGTGTGGAAGCTGCTTGGTCTGCTGTACCCCAAGAACACACCCAAAGTCTCTTTGAATCAATGCCGAGGCGTGTGGCAGCGGTAATATCCAACAATGGCGGCTACTCTGGCTACTGATTCTGGCAGGAACCACACTTCACAGAAGTCTATAAATTTAATCATGTTATCTACAAAATATATAAATTTTGTTGTGCTATCTATTGTCTTTCTTGGTGTTGCATTTACGGTGGCCAGAAGTGTATATTCGTGCTTTAACCTTTTTTTGACAACTTGAAACTAAATAACAGCATATTATTTAAGTAAAAATCATTTGAAATGAAAAATAAGAAGCAAACTAAAATTATCATAAAAGTAATAATTTTGTTTATTTTTTTTTAAAAAAATGATTTTAAATTTCCTTGATTCACCTTATTTAGTAAAGCGTATTGCTTACTCAATTAGTATCTAGGAAGACATCTCATGCACTAAACTATCAGATTTATTCCATAAAGAGTATGTGTTACTATTATCATTATTAAGAAGAAAAACATAGCCACGAGATGGATATAAATTTCTTAATGGCAAATTGTAAGAAAATTCATTTATTTCCGATCAGAATGCTTGGTAAAATTAATAATATATAAGAAACAAACCCATGAAATCATAAATCGTCAATTGCGATAGGTATATTAATATAGGTACGCCTGATAAAATTATAATTTCTAAAATATATATAAATGTTCATAATATAATAGTATAAAATAGTACATAAATTTGTTAACATAGAAGTATGTAAGACATTTAAATAAGTTAAAATTAAATATAAAACATATATTAATATAATAATACATGAATACATGAAGAATATATATATATCCTTTTCATGTAGTTATAGAGAAATTATATATATATATAAAAGAATGTGTAAGATCTTAACGTGTGCAATTTCAATGCTGAAGATGAAATATCAATATAATGAAAAAGATTAGTATAACTAACTATTTCAAGTTATTCTTCTCTTATGAATGTGTTTGTTTTCCTGCAAACCTTTCTTTGTAATATAAATTTCTTTTAAAAAAAATCAATTCCTACTTTATTAGAAAAACTTACAGGCGCAATCTGTTACAGATAAATCTAACTTCGTTAGAAATAATATAGAATAAATTTAAAATTATAAAATAAAACTTCATTAATAAATTAATACTTCAAAAACTGTATTAACATCAAGTCTCATCCACTACTGTTTAAAAGTTTAAAAATATATATCTGTACTTCAGTGGATGAATAAAAAGTATTTTATTAGCGATTGAATACTTGAACAATATATATATATATATATATATAGGGACAGAGTTATATCAAAAATCTTAACGACTCCTTTATAGTCCCAGCTTTTCAAACTTTCTTTGTAACACCTATTCTTAGGGTATTTAACTCTCGTTATTCACAATATATACGCATGTGTCAGGATCTATTCTCCTTATTTTTTTCATGATTTAAGAAAGAATTAAAATGTTCTCCGTGATGTAAATAAGGCAAAGAATTTTACTCATAGATACTTAGCTAATATATTGTACAACAAATTGATGAATTATTGATATTCATAAAAAGACATTTTTCTTTCTCAAAATCTCAAACTTTGAAATAAATTACTTTGTGTGTCCTGTAAGTTCCCGGAAGTATTACATTTCAAAATAGAATTCAAGCTTTTATGTATCAAATAACGGGCTAAAGAGTTACTACAGTACGTGATTCATTATTCTGTTTGTAGATTTAATCAAACTTTTTTAAATATAAGTTAATAGGGAAACATAACGATGATGAAACTATGAAGCTCACTTGATTTAAGGTTAAAATTTCAGGAAACTAATAAAGCAAACAAAGTTTACTAGAACAATTCATGCATCATTTTTTGAAACTTAAGTATCTTTCTGTACAAAATAATTTCGCAATTTAAAATTAAAAGTCACAACACAAGTTTTATTTTCAATGATTTTACTACTGCACTTATTTTACTATAATTATTTGAATAACTACTATTACACTTGCGATTTAATAGAAAAATAAAAAATAAACCTTCAATTCAGTTCCAAGATATATAATACAGAAATAGACATGAAGTAACTTAAAACGGAATTTACCCCATTTTAGGTTATATCTTATTCATCCGAAAGAAATACTAAAATAACGACTTTATCTTGATTTAATACTATTTTTTATTATTTTAACCACCTAGTAGGGCAAACAATGAATATCCAATAACGAAAGTATGCTAAACAAGTAATATAAAAAAAAATTTAAGTCAATTCCTACTTAGGTTAACAAAGAAAATCTTTATTTTAGTTACTTTTTATCAAATAATTACCATTGATATACCGGTTGATTCATAAATAGTGTGACCAATTTCAGAGGATCATAAATTTTTATTGAATAAAGTTATTTACATGGAATTTTCAATGTGATTTCCCCTAGCACAATACACTTTTCGTAAGCGTTTTGACTAAGCTAAAAGAGGTTTTTTTTATCATTTTGGGGGTATTTTTCCAATTCCCTCATAAATTACTTTTTGAAGCCCTTGAGATGCTCTTACTTTACGTCTATTTAATTGTTATTTCAAGTATCCCCATTAAAAATAATCGCAAGGAACACGGACAGGAGATAGTGATAGTCATCTATCAGGAGGCAAAAAGTTTATTTTTTAATCTTTCAGCCATTTTATGGTTGATTTTACAGTATGACTTAGTGCAGAATGTTGGTGAAAAACAAAGTTTCTTTGAGGGTAAAGACGTTTACTGTTTTTGATCAAGTGTTTCATAACCTTATTCTGATAGTATTTACCATCAATTTTAAACTTTGGTTCTACAAAAAAAAATGGTTTTGTTAAGCCTTGAGAGGACATTTCCCTCCATGCCATAACACCCGACGGCCAACTTGCATTTTTCAAAACAGCTGCGTCTTTGCGGCGTTTTTTTCTTGAAATGTATTGAATCTTCGTCTTGCCAGTTATGAATGACAGATGAAACTGTGCTTCATCAGAAGTTATCTATGCTTTGTATCTACCTTTGCGTAACATTAAATACAGAGGCCAAGAATGTTTTCTTCGTTTTTCTAAGTATTACCAGACATTTGATGACAGACTGAAAATTTTATGTTTTTATAGCCAATTTTCTTTATCTGACGATAAATTGTCGATTGCTGTATCTATAGTTTCTTTGCCATAAGTTTTTGAGGCAAAGAATTTTCTACAGCGATAATTCTTTTCAACTTCTTTTTTTCTCATTCATTAAGAACTTCCTTTCGTTCACATTTTTTTCCTGGAGCTTTTGATTGCGAGCCAATTTTTATTTCTTTTTGAAGTTTAGATTGTAACACAATAGAAAAATGTCTTTTTTTTTTATTTTTAAATGCTTTATTATTTATATAATTTGAGCAACCATCCTTCAAAAGCTTTAAAATTTCGTTTCGAGTTTAAGGATCCAATTTCAGTACTGTAATTTACTCCCTATAATAAAAATGGTTAGATTGGTAATTTAGATGTTTCATTTTTCAAATAAAACCATTAGTAAAACGATAGAAATTCATCGTAAATAGTTATGTACTTTTAAAATTGGTCGCACTTATTTTGAATCAACCGGTAAATATAAATATACATATAACAGAATCATAGTATTAAGTGACTAAATCGAAAGCGATTTTCCATGCAATTTTCCATTTTTCTTTCTATACATGGTGCTGTACTATTTTTTTTTTGTTTGTTACTATTTATTCTCATTCATTAAATTTAATTATTCTAATAAAATATTACAGTAAAGAAGAAATCACATTCTCAGAAATTAGGTCATCCTAGGTGAGGTTCGAAACCACGACCTTTGGATTACAAGTCCAACGTGCTATTCATTGCTCAACAGGGATACAACGAACGATTATTTTCCTTTCTATATATGCTGTTGGACTATTATTTATGCTTGTTACTATTTCATTTTTCAATTTAATTAATGAATTAATATTTGAAAAAACTGTATTAACATCAAGTGTCATCTCCACTACAAGTTTGAAAAAATGTAATGGGCTCAATTCATGACGATCACATGACACGTGAACACGTGATAACATGACAAACACGTGTTCTCCATTGAATTCAAAACAGACATCAAACTAATTGTACTTGTTATTCTACTTGTAAAACTCAGATAAAATTTAAAATTTCATAAGTCAATAATTATGTTCAAATGGTATAAAAAAATTCTACCAAAAATTTTAAAATTGAAAAAAAATCTTATTTTATTTATATACTTTCAAATCAAATTCATTTTATCTAACTTTGTGCGTTATTGTTGTTGATAAATCTGTACTTTTTAAGAGAAAATTTCTGAAAAATTGGCAACAACGAAGCACATGAATTGATTAGCTGGAAATACCTAAGTGCTTTTATTGCGTGACTATGACGTCACACGAGTTTTTGAACTGATTGGCTAAAATCACATGGTTATCATCATCATGTGACTATGAAGTCATATGAAACGACTGAAAATTTGAATATATATATATATATAGGGAGAGTGAACTAATAGAAGGAATTTTAAAAAATGCAGGTATTTCTTTTTATTACTATTGAATATGCAAGATTCTTCATAAATAAACGGTTGAAACAAGATACATTTCTCAAACAAATTTCTCGGCCAACGAATCTTTTGCTTCTCCGATTCTTTAAGGCTGTCTTCTTTAAAAGTACGAGAGCTCGAACTAAACGAGAAACACATTTTCAGACAGAAAAATGACCCAATTTCTAAGGAAATTTGCAATATTATAACTCGTACCTCTGTTAACAATAGAGTGTTTTTAAAAATTTCAAAATATTCCGTGAATCCTTCTTTTTTTTTTGTTTTAATACGTGAAGGCAAAGCCCATTTAACATTACGGCAGTAGCGCACACAGGAATTTTTCAAGGGAGGGGGG